TTGCAAAGATTTTTAGAAGGAATAGGAGGAGTAGAGCCTCAACCAACATTGAATCGCTTCATGTTTGAAGCGTTACACCCAAAGTTCGCTAGGGAATTTAATTATTCGCGCAATCCATCGAAAGGACCAAAAAAAGTATTACTCACTCAAACGAAACTAGCGGATGTAATTTTGAATGCATTTTCGTCATTAAATTTTCCTGTCTCTGACAAAGTCACTTTCGAAACATATATGGTAAATGCTCTGAAAGCGTGTAAACAGCGTTATAGTGACGCAGTTCGTAGGGGTAACGTAAGTGCAGTAGATACTAACATATGCAATCCTATATAAATTATGTATTTTTAACAATATAGATGTTGTGAAGAATAAAATAGTTTTTTATATATATAACTGTGTACAATGATAGAACTTTATTAATAAACTTGTGTTTATACCTCAAGAAATTTTGCATTACTATTTCCTTATAAGATAAGAAACCCTTTTTTATTATTTAAGAATATTTAAGATCTTTCAGATGCTACGGATAGTAAATGATAAAAATTAGTTTATAAGAAAGCAGCTAATAGAATATACAATATTTGCTGGATTATGTCTAATTCTTGCTATAAATGTAAGCATTATTTTCGGAAAAAAAAAAAAAAAAATATGACGAGTTTTCAATTTCAAGAAGTTAGCATCCGAAACATCTTAAAGATAGTTATATATATACAAATATATTCAATATTCCTGAAATTTTAAAAACATAATTTTTTTTTTTTTAATCTAAAAAGCGGGCTCGGACTGTTCTGCCCTCTGCTGAGCACTAGCGGAATGAAAATATTTCGAATTTTTAAAAAGCGGCAAAACCAAGTATGAATAGCGGTGACGAAGGCACTACCGTGTCTCTATTCCGCTCAAATTAGCACTTTTGAGGTTATGCTCCTTTAAATTTCTAATTTCTCTGCAATAATGACATAAACTTTATTAAAAAATCTTTGAAAACCCCATTGATTAGCTACGACAATAAATTGCAATTGCTATTGTGTCCTGAAAATCATTTATTTGCAAAAATAAAAATTGGCCACGCCCCTTGGACCGCATTCTAAGTAAAAAGAATCTTTTTCCTTAAAAGTACGACTTTTTTTTATAAAGTTGGTACTACCATGAAGTTGCTGCATGACGATGGAAAATATTATGTTGGTAAAAAATGAAAGAATTACTGAGGCGCCAAATTATGAATGTAAATTTTTTTTGGTATAAAAAATTAATAAAAAGTAATAAAGTTTTGGGGAGTGTATCAATAGGGGGGGGGATATACCGTGTACCTATTACTTAAATAAAACAACCATCTTTCAATAAATGTTTTTTTAGCGCTGGTGAGCGTGTTGAATGCTCCTTTCTGTCAAACGTACCTATACATAAATCAAGTAAGTACGGTAGTTGATAGTAGCGGTAAATTAATCATAAATTGTCAGACGAAGATATTTTATTTATCTGTCAATAGTTGTGACTGTACAGAGATATTAAAAAATCGGTGTAATTGATTTTCTGAATACTTTTTAATAAAATTCAATTTACAGGTCATCGAAACAAGAACACAAAATTTACTAAAAGATGAACAAACGAAACAAAAAATTAAAATAGATGTTTCTACAAAGAAAAAAAAAAGAGGTAGTGTGGGAAAAATCTCAAGCTGCGAAACAAAATGTAAGGGTTATTTTATTGCAATAACAATGAAGTAAAGTACAACCGAATGAACATTGTCATTTTATAGTTCAATGTCTTGTTCCAGATATTACACATCAAAAAGAAAAAAAGAAGAAGAAGAGAAGTTGGAAAAGAAAAGAAACGGGTTCGACAAATTATTGAAAATATTAGGAGAAAATTAAATAGATTTAAAATCATGTTTTCATGTTTTTTTGAATTTTTCATAATTTTGAGGTACAGATAAATTAAAATATATACTTTTTTTGGTAAATAAATAAAAAAAATAATCAATGAATATTCTACTAATCATAATGAATATACTTTATATCCAATAAATACATGTACTAGAGGATCATTGAATAAATAAACACAATGAACGGTTGAAACTGTTTCTACTCCACCAACATTGTAAATTTACTACTAGCACATTTCGAAAGGGGCACAAATGTTATATGACCAAAATGTTCAGGACAGTATAGTACTGGTACAAATGTCGCTCCAGTACAACAGTATAAGGCATTAAAGACGCAACAGTTAAAATTGTGTTAAAATTATTAATAATTTTTTTCAAAATTACTTTTTATTTGAATTGAGTTTTTGGGAAAATTCTAAATATAGATTTACAGAAGAATTCAAATAGTTATTCTGTTGACTTTTGATTCACTCTCATGTGAATGCAGCATGAATCTTCTGTCTACTTACGACTTCATTCTGAACGGTCAATTTCCCCCTAAAGAAAACCAAAGTGTACAAAGTCTAGAGATTGTTATTTATTTTATAATGTTTAACGAAAAATTAAGTGACTCATAAATGATAAGTAAGGTAGCTAATCCATTTTTTACATGTAATCACAATAATTAAAAATTGAACATAATAAGTATTTCTTTTCTTTTATTTGTAGGAAATTCTCATGAAAAAAGTTGATGGTGGGAATGCAATAGAAGAGAAATTGTATCCTACTAAATTGAAGAAAAAGAGAGGAGGAAAAATTTAAAGAATAGAATTTAAAATTTATGTGTTCATATGAATTATTGCACTCATTATTTTACTTACATCTCCTCACTTATTACTTTTTAGATTTTATAAGTTAAAATCAGAAAAGGCACAAAAATCTTATATGCCGGAAAATTTAAGGTGCCGCTTCTAATTCTGAACCTGCGTGGATGTTATGCGCGACGATCGATCGTACATTCCGCGCTGTCATTATGCCGTGTCCGTATTATGCCGACCGAGTTTTTCGGTATCGAAAACGACAAATATTTATGTACATTTTAAGTTGATAGGTAATACATAGAATGTATTACCGATGGTTTGACGTTTTAAAAAAAATTGTTTTACGTTTTTTGAAAACTAATTCATGTCCTTCAATCAATAATTTTGTTTATATCTCAAGATCGGTAGGAGATAACAATTTTTTTTTTATTGAGTTGATAGTTAAATACTACCAGACTGAAGACTATTATACAGTACCGGACATAAATGCTGTGTGATTTTCTATAGGACGGTATAGGAAAATCGCCTGTAGAACCCTTGAAAAATTGAACAGCATTTATGTCTGGTACTGTACTATCTATACACAGATAGTGATGTCTGTTCTAAAATTCCATGTCGTAGTAACGGAGTCGAATGATGCACATTCCGTTTGTTGAACAAAAAATCGTGAAATCACACCAAAAACAGCCCTGACGGACTTCACAAAAATACGCGCCAAGTATGAATAACGAAGACGATAATCATCGTTCATCAAGTGCGATTTCTATAAAACTTCTTTATGCGAACAACTACAAAAATGCATGAAATCATTGCAGCCAAGTATTTAAACATAAAGATTAATTATATTTATTAAAATAAAATGGAAATGTTTTTTAATTTTCGTTAAATTATAATGTAATTTTCTACATAAATCAAAGACAAACTCTTTATAATAAGATAAAAAAAAAATTCAATACATGAAGATAGTTGACAGCCTTATTACGTTTTAAAATTTTGAAAATAGAAAAAAAAATTGAATTAAAAAAAAAATTTCTCTTTTTTTATAAAAATTTATTTAAACACAATTAACTTGGCGTGGCTCTTACAGCTGTAGATAAAACGATGATTGATTAGATGTTTCATATAATTGATAGCCACGCCAAGTTAATTGTGTTTAAATAAATTTTTATAAAAAAAGAGAAATTTTTTTTTTAATTCAATTTTTTTTTCTATTTTCAAAATTTTAAAACGTAATAAGGCTGTCAACTATCTTCATGTATTGAATTTTTTTTTTATCTTATTATAAAGAGTTTGTCTTTGATTTATGTAGAAAATTACATAATAATTTAACGAAAATTAAAAAACATTTCCATTTTATTTTAATAAATATAATTAATCTTTATGTTTAAATACTTGGCTGCAATGATTTCATGCATTTTTGTAGTTGTTCGCATAAAGAAGTTTTATAGAAATCGCACTTGATGAACGATGATTATCGTCTTCGTTATTCATACTTGGCGCGTATTTTTGTGAAGTCCGTCAGGGCTGTTTTTGGTGTGTTTTTAAAAAGCGGCAAAATAAATTTCATCGACGCCATCTTTGTTTAGTATTTATTTTTAGTTTCCGTAGCGGCCGTATAGAGGCGCTTCAGTACGGGTGATGAAAAGAATTGAGCACCACTGAAATGTCAAAAAAAGGGGAAACTAAAGGTAAGCATCTGCTTTACTGCTGCCGCAAGCCTGCCGATGCATCTGATGCAGCATTAACGTATGATGCTTACGTCCGACTGATGTAAGCAACCTGACATCAGGTGCTGACGACAGGCTTACGTCAGATTGCGAAGCAGACGTACGTAAATCTGTCGGATGCTGCATACGTCAGCACTGGCTACAAGGGTTAGTAGTATTACTTTTATAGTTAGATTCATCACTCTTCGGAGCTTCTTGTAAATAAAAATTGTTTTGTAAACTATCCAAGCCTTTACCTTGTTTACCTATTGTATTGTAAAAATTAATAAAAAATACATATAATACATATAATCAGTATAATAAACTGTACATAGAAAATTGGAAAATCAGTTAAACTTATAAATTATTACTTAATCAACCTAATCATAAAAATAAATATACAATTCATGTACCAGAAACCTGTCGAAGCCAGTATTCAAATAAACCCTTATTTTCTAATTCGCCAGTCCAAATGCCATCTGGAAAACATCTTTTAAAGTCTCTTAATAATGTTGGTGACAAGTTGCTCTCAAACTGTTCTAAGTGAGATTTACTATTTTCATAATAATGTTGATGTTGACTTTCCTGGTGTTCAATTGTAGTTTTATTTTTTTTTCACTTCTTAAAAATATCATAGTCCACAGCTGTGGGGTTGAACGGATACAGACCAGATCCTCTGAAACCACTTTGAATACATTTTTTTTCAATTTCATTCATTCCATCAAGCGTGTACTTTAGAACTATAGGGAACTCTTCTTTTTTAATTTTTAAAGTATTGTTTTTATTTTTCCACTTAGGAACTGTTTTTTTCCAAGCTTCTTTGAACGGATGGAAAAATGAAATATCCAGTGGTTGTACAATGTGCGTTGAATTAGGGAAAAAACCAATCAACTCTATCATCTTTTCTCTACAAAATGACACAAGAGGTATATTCATATGAGATGAGTGATTGTCCAGATATATAATTACTGGAAATTGTATTTTATTTTGAAGAAGCCACGGATAAAAAACATTGGTGATATATTCATACAATGTCTCAGTGGTCATCCATCCATTATCCGATATTCCACGACCCCATCCACTTGGTGTATTTTTAACAATTTTCTGTGGTAACTTGTCTTTATAAGGAAACATTAGCATTGGTGGAGCTCGAAAGCCACTTGCAGCATACATAAATAGTACAGTATGGCATTCTTTGCCAGCATCAACGACTCTATAGACAGAACGAGTACCTTTTCCTGTTCTCACTCTCTCTGAATCAGGGCACAGCATAAGACTTGTTTCGTCACAGTTAAAAATTCGACTAGGCTCTATGTTTAACAAATCTTTGCTCCTTAAATACTGTTCTATCTCAGCAAACCATTGCTGCAAATCCTCTCTTGTGACTGATACCCTGGTTAAACTGAGATGTTGTGGTTTCCTAAAAGTTAAGTTTGGGTGACGCTTTTCAAAGCTTTCATACCAGTGTCGACCTGGTCGCTGGTTGATGAATGGTGTGTGCTTATTTATTAACTGTACATATTTTTGGATACTGTCAAATAATTCAGTTTTAGTAACAGGCGCTCCGGTTTGTGCTCTATGAAGTATCCACTCAACTATCTCTTTCTCTTCTTCTTTTGTAAAAATTGTCGATGGACCAGGCTTTTCTTTTGTTGTAGTTTGCTTATTCAGTTTTCTATGAAGTGTTGTTGATGGAATATGATACAATGCAGATGCTCTTCTTAAGGACACACCATTTTTTATTGCTTCCAAAGCGTGGTTCACACCATCAGTTGAATAATGAATTCTTTTTTTTTAGGTTTTCTCTTTACACATTTATCACTAGCAATAACAATATTTGTTTTAGACTTTTTCTTTTTACAATCAGTCGTCTTTTTCTTTGTCTTCATGATAATTATCTATAATAAAATAAGTAAAAAAACATTTCTGTGTGTACATTCTTGAGGTTAGATTATTTTTTTCAAGTTTATACTCAATAATTGTACTAACCTAATTATACTTTCACAACGAAGAATTTTTAAAAAATATCGATACATCGATAACCATTGATGAGAAATATCGATTGTCGGATATCGATATTTTTTTTCAATATCGCCCATCCCTAGTTGTCCCGGAGAAAGAGTTATCTTCGGGTGTTTCCCTGAAGCCAACTCCGCCAAAAAAAAGTAGTCCATCAAAAACTTTGACGCATGCGCACAATACTTTTATAGGTAAGAAATGTTCCGTTTTTATCGACTTAAGATATAAATGAAGATCTTTTGGCGGTTCTACTTTTAATTGTTTTGAATAACATTGATAACGTAGCTCTTCATTATTGAACAATATTACCAAAAATACTCATACGTTATAATTGATTGTTATAAATATCAAATTTCACTACCATTACATAAATAGCATAATTAGTTTAATAGTTTAATTATAAATAGTTAAGGTTTTGGAGTTCATGTGTGTGAAAATTTGTTGCTTGTGGTTTTGATATTAATATTAATATTCATTTATTGGATTGTGTTTCTGTCTATCTATATCTATTGTAAGTTCGTTATTAATTGGATTTTTTTTCCATGACAATTAAGCAACATTCACCCAAGAAACCAAGGAAGCTGAAGAAATGGTCAATTTATACGAACGATAAAAGAGGAAGATCCTTTAATTCACAATTCCAAGCTGCGATTTGTAATTTACACGAAGCCTTAGAAGTGGAGAAAAAGCTTGGAGATCTTTTAGTTCTTTTGGAAGATGTCAGATATTTATATTCAATATCAACTTTATAAATAAATGGTAATGAATTGTAATGAAAGATGATATTTTTTATTTTCAAAGAAAGAGTTGCTACATATTTGAACATATCATTACCTAGTGTGACCAAATATGTGGAGATTGGGGCCACAGGGCAACAATTTGAGACTCCTGGGAAGGTTCGACCTCATCCTGCACCAAAACGGAATATTCCTGATGAGGTAAAGGATGACATTTGCCATGTTATTTATGACATTTACAATCAGCGAAGGACTGTGACAGTGAAGGAGTTATTGCAGATAATAAGGTAAGTTTTCATGTTGTTTTATGGTTGTTTAAATGATAATTTTGCATGGTGTGGCCACTACATGCACGCAAATAAACTGGCATTTTACTTTGCTTTGTTTGGGGAAAATTTTGCCTGTGTTTATTCTTCTTTTCTCGTTCTTTTTATCCTATCGGAGAAAAGAAGATCGAATTTCATGGTGGAGAGGAGATTTTCCGGAAAATCCTGCATGATAAGGGATTTTCCTACGAAAAAAGGGATGGCAAGCGTTATGTGGTTGAACAACCACATATCATTTTTAAACGATTAAATTTCCTGAAGGCATATAGGGACAACATGCTGGATTCCAAGAGACGAGACGTCGTCTTCTTAGATGAAACTTGGACATTTCAGAGAGGAACCGGAAAAACTCGCGATTGGCAGTCTGGAGATTTCCAGAGCCGTTCCATCAAGAGTGCTGCAACAGGGAGTAGATATTTGGTTTGTCACGTAGGTGGTGAAAATGGATTTATTTCAGGTGCTTCGCTACTGCTGAACACAAAGAAGAAACCAAAAGATGGAGACGATTATCATGGAGATATGGATGCAGCTTTATTTAAGAAATGGTTTTCCACCCAACTTCTTCCCAACCTGAAGAAACCATCTCTAATTATCATGGACAATGCTTCCTATCATAGTAAAATGGTATGTATCACAGTTTAACATGAATTAATTTATATATATTCATCTTAATAAGTTACTTAATTAGCGCCATCATCATTCTTTCAGGTAAATCCACAACCTTTATCAAACTGGACGAAAGCCCAACTCATGGAGTGGCTTGAAGAACGCAGCATTTCATTTAGGATCGACGAGAAGAATAAGGATCTCCTTCACAAGTGCCAGGCTCATACGGAGGATATAGAATATGAAATAGACGAAATAGTGGCCCAAACTAAGCATAAAATACTTCGCCTGCCTCCATACCATTGCTGTTATAACCCAATCGAGATGGTTTGGGGGATAACAAAAAGGTATTTTGACAAACATGTTGGTTGAGGGAATGATTTTTCTGAGGCCAACATGTTGAACATTTGTCAAGAGGCACTGGACCAAATCGACGCCGGCATTTGGAGAAAATGCTGTCAGAAGGTGGAGGAGAAAATTTTACACGATTGTGCTCGTAAATTGGATAATCCAAATGTATATTTGTATATTTATATTTCGTCGTATCCGACTTTTTCCTATTTTTACTACTCTAATTTCTTTTTTCAGCTCATACAAGAAGTTGATGACACAAGCATCACACCAATGGATGTAGACACTGATGAAAATGACGATGATGATGAATGGGAAGACATAGCGGATGAAGAGATTGGCCTATTGAATGTCAGTGAAGTAGATTTTTTGCCAGAGCTCCGTGAGATGGAAGTGCCTTGTCAAGAAATCTCCAAAGAACAGAACAGAGCTTTATCAGACTTACAGCAGTCTGTTTCTTAATCTGCTTTATGTCTACTGGGGATGTTACTACCTTTACATTATATCTATTCACTATGTATTAACTTGTTTCAGATCATCAATGTCTACTTCGAGATGATTGCAGAAAGGGGAGCACCGTCAATTTACGCCTGCAACACCTTCTTCTTTCATCAGCTGGTACGTGGAGGATACACATCTGTAAAATCATGGACTAAAAAGGTAGGCATTATTGAACTATACACCTCATTTAACATTCTTTGCAGAAATTGATTCTTATGGTATGCATTGTGTTCTTCAACAGGTTCGAATATTCTCCATGCGAATGATGATGGTACCAATTCATCTGGGTGCTCATTGGTGTTTGGCGGTGGTAAATTTTGAAGATCAATCGATCATTTATTATGATAGCCAGTATGGAAAAATGATCCATGCCTCCAAGTAAGTAGTTGATTGAATTGTATATATTTATTGCGACAAAAAATAACCATCTGTGCAAATTATTTTTAACAGGCTTTGCTGGATTACCTGTGCGAAGAGCACCTGGCCATGGAAAAGAAGCTCCCTGATCGAACTTTATGGACCCTACATCACGCCAAGGTGAGTAAAGAACTAATTCCGAATCCATTGCTTTCATTCGTTCCATAATATTGTCATTTTGTTCTTTTCAGGGTATTCCAAGGCAATTTAATGGATATGATTTTGGAGTATTTGTCTGTGCATATGCTGAGCACATTTCAAGAGGCGAGCCACTCAATTTTTCAACGAGGGATATGTATAACATTCGAGGACAAATATTGAATGAAATAATATCCAATGTGTTACACATCCTTTCGAACACAAAACACTATAGGAGAAAAAACTAATCAGTAAGTATCATGCATGCAAAAGATAATAATTAAGTACCGTGTAATCGAAAATATTTTATTTCCAGGCATTGGATCGACTACCTTCTTCTGCTGCAACCTTGGACCCTGTCGTGATCGGAGAAATAAAAAAAAAAAATAAGTATTTTTTCAAATATAACATCTGTCTGAAATGCTGATATTGGAATAGTATATTAAAGCTGTCCGTCGATTTTCAGATTATCCCGACTAAATTTAATCGAAGTATAACAACAAAAGACTTTACGTGCATTAAAATGCAGACTCGTCGTCCATGGACTCATCAAACTGATTTATATTGCGTAGCTGCTTCACCTCATTGTCTTTATTTTGAGGGAAACACATGAGAGCTGTTTTGTCTGGTAACCGTTGGTTCATTAATTGAAAAATGACAAGGTAATGTATAACACCTTTATTGAAACATTGGTTAATTTATGTGAATTATTTTCAGATTAAATATTAATCCATTAAAGTAATAATAATAATAATAATGAAATCAACTCTAAAGAAACTAATCATAAAGGACTGAGTGAAGTGGATATTCAATGGAGGAAGTTGAATCGGATAATTATCTAGTGACTGATGAAGATACCAATTGTAAATTTACAAGGAAAAATAGTATTGCTGATAAAGAACCTAAGCTTGCAAATAACAATAATGCTAATAAAGAAAAAGAGGAATACTATACGAAACCTATTTGTAGTATTCAATAATTCATAGTTACCAACTATTTAATTAACCATTTTTATTTTCAATTATAATATTTTTATAAACTATTTCATGCTGAATAATATGAAACCTCTAAAAAATGACTCCAAAATTACATTGGAAGAACTCAAGCAGGTTATGCTCCGAAGAGAAAATATATTTTTTAGCATTTCTATAGAAATAATTGGAAAAGAAGGTCTTCGTCAACGAACAGCTCATGAATTACGTGCCTGGTTACCAGTTATGGTATATAAAAGTGACCTGCTGCCAAAGCAAATCTGTCAATTTTGTGCTGCAAGGTTAGATGATGCTTATGAGTTTAGGGAATATTGAGTAAGTGTTTACAAAAGTATGGATTTAAAGTAGCTGACTAAAAAGAATTGAAACTCAGTGAAAATTCTTCTGGATGCTATCACCAATTCGCCAGATCCTTGCCAAGTAAGTTATCTTAACATTATATGCCTCTCAGAATTCAAGACACTGAAAATGGTATTAAATTTGTTATACGATCTTGAGAAAAAACATCGTTACAGCTTCATAAAATTTTAACGATCTTGATTCTTTATGTCTGCATTCCATTCATGTACAGTTTTCAACAGAGTTGATCAATAATTATATCTATTCAAACTATAGTTGATTACCCATAATAAACAATAATTTATATTTAGTTACTATACACTATTACTAGATTGTTTCAAATTATTTTGTATTGTTCTAGATGCAACTTTGTATGATTAAGCAACGTGGTCCTTCCCTCTTGGTTCCTTTGCCAACAGCATAGTTTCCATTACCTCACTCACCTAAACCACTAGATATTCTAGAGATAAGAGAATCCAATGATAGTTTCGAGTTACTGCCAGAATTGCCGTGCGGAGTTAAAATAAAAGAGCAACCTACTGATCTAAACACCAAATTAGGTTTTAAACCAGAAGCTGACAATAGTAACCCAACCTTAACTGAAGAAACTAATGAAGATAATCATGAATTGAATGATTCACAAATAAATAATTATAGTAATGATACTAACAGT